TGAGCGGTGAGGCCACGCCAGGAGGGTGCGGATGGTTTACGAGCGTAGAGCTGGACAAGTTCGGTTCGGTCGCGGGGGTCTGCGGGGCGGTCGACTGCGGCGTAGCGTCGGACATATGCTCGTGTTCTGGTCAGGGTCGGTGCTCCTCGACGACTTCTCTTCCTCTAGAACGGAGTATTTGCGATCACCACGAGATCGGTATGCACGATGGCAACAATGAGGACGCGGACGTAGGTGCGGTACCGTCGCCATCCGCATGGTTCGAACTTCGTAATATATGCTGTTCGCGCGGGCGTAGACGCCGCGCTACTGATTCTCATGGACTCCCAGCCGTGGGTGCGGGGAGACGTGTGCTAGCCTCGCCATTTGACAGGGCGAGAGAAATCCGGACGGGTTGCGCCGGTGGGGTCGGGGCGGTGGGAATAGCCCGTAGATGTGCCGAGCGCCGATGAGAGTGGTATCTGGAATCCCGTCTGCGAGGCTTTCTAGTCAGGCTAAAGAAGAAGAGCTGAACGTGAGGAATGCGCACACTTATCACATTCTAGCCGCTTCGAGTAAGAAATGACGCACCAAAGGTAGAGGTTACCGTAGGATATGAGCGACGCCATCTCATTTGTGCATCTACATCTGCTACGGCTCCAACGCTGGAGAAGTAACTCACACCGTCAAGTGCCCTGACAGATGTAGCGCCCGCGAGCCGCGCGATAGGGCCAATAAGTATGTGTCCACGGTAATGCTCCCCATGCCTGTGCCCCTCATCGCGACAGCAGATCTCAGGACTTCGCGTGCGATCTGCACGATGTGACGCCTGTAGTAAGATTCGGCGTCCCAGTGAGGAGTGAGAGAAGTCGCGGTGTTCAGGTACGCGGCGACCGAAGAACTCGCTATGGTCGGCCGCCTCTCGGGAGCGTGTGTGAAAATGGAGGGGGCAGTACTACGAGTTGGTTGGGCGCGAACTTCTTTGGATCGCTCTAGGGGGGTGTCTGGAAGGGCACTATCCCTAGCCGACCCCTGCTAGAGGTTGGAAGTTCGCGCTCTAGCGCGACTCGTGTCGCAATCACGCTTTTCATCCTGGGAGGACGGTGTGACGGTGCACGAGAAGGTATCGTGCCGATGGGAGGACCGCCTCGCCACTTACTGGGAGAAGTATTCTTGCAGGACGTTGTCCGCTTGAGGCACTTCGAAGGGTGTACAAGGTTGGAGCGGATAACTCATCCTCTTCGCACTGTGGGTGACTTGGCCAGAACGGGTACCACTGGTCCACAGGCATATGTGCTGTCTCTTATGTCGTCGTATCCAGCAGTGGTCGGCCTGCCAGTATACAGAATCGGCAAGATAGAGCTGTCTACACGTCGCTTGTGCAATTTCCTGAGCATTGGTCAAGGATAAACGCGCATTACACTCAACATCATTGAGATCGTCCGTACCGGCGATTGTATTCCGGACGTGCGATTCGTGTCCTCGTTGAGAGAGATCTACTCCAAGGGGTGAGGTTTTGTTCTTATCGTAGTCAAGGCCAAATAAGGTGCAGATGTGATTTACATGACCAGTATTTCGCGTGTTGAAAGGCTTTACATTATTTCGGCATACCAGGTCGGTGGTTTTGGAAGAGAATGATAAGGCCTCGAGACGGAAGCGCCCGTGGGACGCGTCGCCGATGTGCACCGGACACCCGGCCCGGCCTCCGCGAAAGACTTGGAATCGTCGCGAACGGTCGCGCCTTTCGCTCGTCCACTCGCACATATATGAAGGCAGATAGGAGGAAAGATGGTGACAACACCGACCACCATCTGCGCAGTATTCAAGTAGTGCTTGGCTTCAACAGCTTTATTATCTTACATTCGCCAATCACGCCATGAGCGGTCTCGAGAACGAGGAGGTCAAGACCACCCAGACCGGCGCGCCTCTCGCGCTGCCTCCTCCGCCCTCAGACGAGGAGGCAGAGAAGATCACCATCAACGGCAACCAGACGTTCAAGTTCGATAAGCTTGGTCCCGTGGTCGTGAACAGCGACGGAGTAAGTCTCCAGGCGGCTTGAGCAGCGCAGTGAGCCGGCGAGCTAACGTGGACCTCTAGACTCTCTCCCGCATAGCGAACTGGGAGAACATGGCGCCGATCGAGAAAGAGCGGACGCTCAGGATCCTCGTCGCACGAAACCAGTGAGTGAATGAGGCATCAGCCCATCCGCTAACCAGCGTACTGACTTCTGCGTCACAGAGTCCGGATCGCAAACCAAGAGAAGCAACAGAGTGCCTCCGGCGACCAGGAGAAACTCTCGATATCCCAGAACGCATAAGGACATCGTCATGGTACCATGGACTGCTTCAATGTAATGTACCCATAGTACAATGTATCATACAACGGACACGGCGCCTTGAATCAGTCTCGTTCCACGCGGCCGACGCGTCTCTCAGTCCATCAGAAGCCCTCCGACCAGCCGTCCTTGTCACGACTCATCGACGTATATCCGATCTGCTCACCAAGCTGGACCTCAACCTGCACGAGATCTGACACGCTCGGTAGGCGCTTCGAGAGCTGTTGCCTCCACCAGCTCGCATGGTCCCGTCCGACGTCTTCCATCCGGAAGTGCAGTCGCTGCAAGGACGGCACGCGCTCCCACAGAGGACCATAGCTGTCCTCGGTGCCCACAAGGACATCGAGCAGGCGCGAGCGACTGCCTGTGGACATGCCCGAGACGCAAAGCGAGATGGAGTGCATGGAGGGCGCGGAGGGGAGGTTGGTGACGAGGTATAGGAGGAGGACGCTGTCTTGGATCATGTCCTCCGGATGTGCGGGAACCATGATGGCAGAGAGCCGCACGGATAGCTCGATCGAGCGCAGGTTCTTCAGATCACGGATATAGCACGAGACATTCTCTACCGCCGTTCAGGCTGTGAGCAGCGCGCGCGTTACCTTTGATCGGGAGGACGTACCGAGAATGGACGGAAGCCTCGAGCCTTGCGGATGGAGGGAAAGCGATGTGACCGACGAGCCGAACGCGCCCGGCGGTGGAAACTGGAAAAGTCCTACGTTAACCTCTTCGCAAAGGAGGTGCTGCAGCGATCGTCAGAAGTGGTCGCAGAAATGAGATGAGCTTCTTACCCCAACGTCGAGCCTGAATAGCTCCCGGCATGCCCACGGCTTACGTGCTATGGCCAGCCTCCTTGATTCTCCCTCGGACAGCGCTCTGCGAATGAACATCTTCCGATGAACGATCAGATTTCGGAGATTACGGAGCGACCAGACCAGACGGAAAAAGTCCGTCGCCGTCTCGAAGCTGGCGAACCACAACCGCAGGGTAGTAAGGGACCGGAACCGCGCGACCACCGCGTTATACGCGTATGGGGATGCGAGCCAGTTCACGCGCTTCAACCACATGAAGCGCAGGTTCGGGAGCACGCGCGTGAGCTCTGGGAGAAAGAACGACACGGAGCCCCACTCGCACCCGGGCCTGTCCGGGTAGATCTCGAGCTCGACGATGAGCTCGCAGAGGTGCGCGTCGTCGCGGATGAGGTCCAGCAGCCGGCCGCGCCTGCGCCTCGTTCCGGACCATGGTCGAGTACCAGAGGTTGTATCGCGCGCGGGGGCGCCATGCGCGGCAGACGGCCGCGCAAGAGCGCAAGTCCGTTGGGTACCAGTAGTCGTCGCCGATGGGGACGAAGAGTTGGTCGAGGATGCGCTCCCACAACAGCAGCGGGAGCTTCCGTGGCCAGGAGTGATGAATCGGGCTGGCCCAGTACCATGCATTCATGAACTTCGCCAAAGACGGATCGACGGGGCTCGAAGTTGGCATCTTGGAGGAACCGGTCGTGGTACACTTCAGTGGACGAGGGGAACCTATGGGCGATCAAGAACATTATATCCTCGACGAGGCCGGCGTATCATCATCAAGGGCCCGCAACTGCCCTCAGAGCATATCGGCACGCATTAACATTGCAGGCACAGGACAGATTGCAGTGAATTTGCCACGGCGACTACTGATACGTGGATTTCGAAGCTGAGCATACGCTCGGAATGCCTCAGACAGAGTCGGGGATCAGGAAACGTGTCAGTGGGGCAAGATGCTTCGTGAATACAATACTTACCATCCCGGGTAATGAACTACCGATAAAACCTTGATGTCTGTTCCGCCTGTGCAGACGCGCCATCGATGGGTCGTTCCGTTTGTTTGGGAGGGAGCACCTGATACTCAGAGAAGAAGTCATAGCGCCACAGAGGGCCGCCTCAAGGCGTGAACGTGTCCCGCGAGGGCACAGGGCTCTCCCGAATCTGCCGCTACCTTGTCGGCCTCCTCCTACACTCCTCTATCTGTGCTCCGCCCGTCACGCTGCAAGTCAGGTTCAAAATAGTGTCGACACCTTGCATGGAGCTGCTCATGCGAAACAGCTTGCAGCTTGTCGCCGGAAGTCCTCCGGCCACCGAACACGCATCAAGAGCGGTAAATGATACGGCTGCAGCGTAGCCTCAGGCGTAGGAACTTTGCTTATCGAAGGCGGTCGTAGGACTCGAGGGCGACTAATATATGCATTGACCTGAATAGCATCAGCCGACCGGCCTCTCCAGTTCCCCCAGCCATGATTTCTGGAGTCTGAAGACCTCAGTGAGCATGTTATGCTCCATGAGCACGGTTTGCCATACAGTATACTGTACTGGCCGGAGGGTGGACAAGCCGTCTTCGCTGTCCGGCGTTTCCCGAGCCACAACGGCGCCTCCTACTAAGGCAGGTCTACCAAACATCCAGCTTACTCCCGACCTCGACGGCGCACATGCATCCACCACGGCACGCACCTACCTCGCTATTGCGCAGGCTGAATGTTCCTTCTGTACATGCGCAAGGCGCTTGTCGGAGCGGACCTTCCAGGTGACGTCGTGGAGATGCATGCGAAGGCACGACGCACCGCTTTCTTGCACTCACCTCTGCCACGAGGCGCCCTCCCCATCGCCTACCCTTCCAAAACCGCACTTCACAGGCCCAATCAAAAGAAGAAGGACCGTTCACACGACACCAGTAGGGTTCGAACCTACGCTCCCAGAGGGAAACAGATGAATTCAAGGGACTCCCCCGATGCGCATTCTAATCTGTCGCCTTAACCACTTGGCTATAGTGTCTTGCTTAGTAAGCCTTGGCAGCCATTCTTCACGTCACTGAGCGCCCCCGCGGGGCCCGGGCAGTAGACACGACACGGTCACTGGTCGTCTGTAGAGGCGCCGCTCGAGCGACGCAAGGTTCAGCCGGGAGACATACCCCTACGGTAGAGAAAGAAATGATACAATATATGTATGGATGTGTGCGAGCACGAGAGCACGAGCACGGGCAACGATGATCAACTATGACGAGAGAGCTAGCAGAGCGCGAGAGACAAAGAGAAAGAGAGAGAGAGGGTGCGACAGCCTGGCCCAGGAGCCTGATGAGGAGTCGAAATAGCAGGAAGGAGGCGTGCGCCGAGAGAGATAGAGAGAGAGAAAGGAGGTAACGAGCGCGCGATCGCTGCCAGTGGTGCAAGAGCAAGATAGTGTAAAGAATAAGGTAGTACGTAGATGCCTAGAGAAAGAAGGAGAGACAAAGCACTTCAAACACGCGACAGGACAGCGAAAGCCACAGGCCACCCCCGCTAACTCCCACCGCCCGGAGAGGACGTCAACCCAACGACCCCCGCCCACCAGGCCCGCCCCACACCCACACCCCGCGCTCGTCCTCCACTCCTCCTCCCGCGCCCCCTACCTCTCCTCCAAGGGTCTCCGAAACACCCCGCTGCCCCACCGCGCACCCCCTCCTCCACTCGCGCGCCTCGCTCACCATCCTCGTGTACCTCCTCCCGCCCATACTCCCGCCACCGCCGCCGCCCACGCTCCCTCTCTCGCTCCCGCCATACATCAACGCGGGCAGCGCCCCACTCTCCCGAACCTCCCCCGCGCCGGCGTCGGCGGCGTCCGTCGAGTACGCGCTCCCCAGCCGCGGACGCGACGGCCGCGGCGGCAGCGCGAGGTTCACGCTCGGCGAGGAAGCCCAAGGCGACGCGCACGCGGCCGAGAACGAGCCGGACGGACTGGCGGTGGGGTAAGGCGCGAGGTTCGGGTGGGACGAGGACGAATAGGACGCGAAGCGGAGCGGGGAGAGCGCGCGGTCGGGCGGGGACGGGTAGTCCGGCGGCGGGGTCTCGCTTCCCTCCTCGATCGCGTTCGCGTTATCGTGCGTGTTCGCGTTCGCGTCGGCGCCAGCCGGGATCTCGACGATGACCATATTCCCCTCCTCCACCTCCTCGAGCGGATGCTGGCCAGGCGGCCTCACCGGGCTGAGCGGGTCCACCGGGGTCGCATACACCGCAGCGGCAGCAGCAGCAAGCGGCGAGATCGGCAGCAGCGGCGCAGACAACCCTGACCCGGACCCCGAGCCCGACGCGGGAGAGGCAGCGGTAGCCGACGAGGACGCGGACGTGAACGAGTGGAAGCGCCCCGCGTGCGCATGTGCCTGCCCGTGCGCCTGTGCGAGCCCGAAGGAAAGCGAGAGCGTAGGAAGGGCGACGCCCACTGCGGTCTCGACCGCTCCGTACTGGGGGTACACGTCCGGGTGGCTGAGTCGCGGTGCAGCGAGCGGCGCGGGCGCGTCGAACGTCAGCGAGGTGGGAGCATTCGCCGGGATGGGGAGGCGCGAAAGGTGCAGGGAGGAGGCGGAGAGCGACGAGGGGAAGGGGAAGGACTCGGAGGGGAAGGAGGGCGAAAGAGGGAGGTGTTTCTGCTCGCCGAGCGCGTAGCGGGAGGAGCGGGTGCGGACGCGAGCGCCTGAGGGGAGGAAGGACCGGCCGCTGTACGTGTGCGCATGCGTGTGGCGGCTGTGGTGCTCTTGTGAGGGGTGCAGGGCGCTCCGCGCGTTCAGCCTGTAGGTATGTGGTCAATGAATGAATGAGCCTGGATCAGGAGACGGGGTACAAGGGGGCGTACATGGCCATGTATGAGTTGATGTACACTACGCAGCGCGCGCGATCAGTCAACGGGTCATGCCAGAGAAGAACAGGACGTACGCTTGATGACGAGGAATTCGATCGCGATCGGGATGAACGTCGTCGGGTACGCGACCATCTGCACTCGACCGTCGTGAGCGCCCAACCCAAGGATGCATTGCACTGGATCCCGTACCATAGATATCGCAATCAGCGAGCACACGCTGGATGAGTCCTGCGATTAGGGTGATACAGACTCGAAAGGTAGGCTCGGACGCACCTGGTGATGATACCCGTATTGAGGGTGTACACCATGAGCGTCTTGATCGGTCCGTTCATCCTGTCCGTCATCCATCAGCATTGAGCATTCATCCGTCTCCAACCCCTGACATCGCCCTATGCATGGTATGAAAGGCAACGGTACTCACGCGCCAAACTGCGGCCGACACCGCGCCAGGAAATAACACAGCGAGCCGGCGATGACCGCGTCGATGACCGTCGATGCTGCCAGCGGGACGTAGGTCGCCCACTGCCATCGTTCACCGCACGATTCGCACGGGGACATGGAAGGCGGAAGAGTAAGCGGATCAGAGTAAGAAGGGGAGGGAATAGGATGGAAAGGAGGGGCGTACCGGAGCGCGTGCGAGCTCGGCGAATGTGCTGAGCTTAAACCTACAAGGGTCGAATGGAATGGAATATGTCAGAAAAGGTAGGCGAGGAATGAGTGGGAGGTCGGCTCACGCCTCGAAACACATCGCTGTCGCGTAATCGTTTAGCATGCCTCCTCAATGTATGTCGCAGGGAAGGACGAGACTGACCTATCGCTATGCCTGTCGCAACGAGTACGACGGAAGGGAGGAATGATGAGAATAGGTACCATACAGGATAGGCGTGGAGCGCGTACCGTAACCTACGACGACCAACGCACTCTACTTCCAGTCAGCCAGCACGTTCTAGGAGAGGAAACAAAGCGGAAAGAGCGAGGGACTCACAACGAGCCATGGAACGATGCGCCGCATGATCCAGCGCGTCGCACTCGCGTGCACGGCCATCTTCTGGCGACTCCAGCGCCGGGCCTCTTTGCCGAATGGTTCTACATGGTCGTCGATGGCAAGCACTGCAAGGCAACGAAAAAAGCATCAGGGCTTGCATAGAGAGGTGATGGATGGGGGCTTACGCGTCCATAGACGCGATGTATACAGTCTGATCGTAATTTTTGTCAGAACCTGAACTGGCGATAGCTGAGGGGGAGTGCAGAAAACCTACGTATGGACAGATGAGACTACAAGAGCCTGTAGGAAGGTCAGAGTGCAGCCGAGGTGAGGGATGATTTGAGGGACGTACGTCAACTACCATACGCAACTATGTGCTACTTTAGTCTTTGACCGCGGAAAAGGCATGTAGTCACGCACCTTGAAGCTCCAGACGATTTCGGAAAGAGTGTCGGGCTTGTCGTAGTTAGTGACAAGGTAGAAGTAGACCAAGTGCGCGCTCAGCGCGAGATGGAGGGCGTCCAGAGACCTGATACAATGATCAGGCCGGGTCTCGAGCGATCTGGCGGAGGGACGCACCAGAGCCAGCATACGGCGAGCTTCCTCCAGGCCCTGTCGGACGCGTACTGCTGGAAGTAGACGAACGTCTGGATGACGGTCACACCAAAGAGCCTGTGCGCATATGTGAGGACAAGTGATGGCGATGATCATCAAGGGGAGAGAAGTCCGGGTAGGTACGTACACGGCCGAGAAGAGGACGCCTAGGAGGAGGGCGCCGTAAGTGGGGTTAAGGTTGGGCATGCCTCACGCTGCGGTCGCTCTCAGGCCCGACGAGCGTCCTGCAGGATGAGGGCGCGGAGGAAGGAGAGTGGTAGAGGAGGGGGGAGGAGGAAAGAGAGAGGGAGAGAGAGGGGGCGGGGGACGGAAGAGGGGTTGGGAGACATGGCTGGGACGTGGCGGGGAAAGAGGAGAGTGGCGGGACGTTGGATGTGCGGAGGACGACGGCGGGCGAGCGAACGCAGGCATCCCCACTTCCGTACCAGGCCCAAATTGCACGTGCGTCGCTTCTCGATGACACGCGCCAGTCCTCCTATCCAGAACACACCCTCCGAGTCTCTCCCCGCCCGCCACGGACTTGTCCTCCCATCTCCGCCGGTCCTCCTCCACAGCCTGCACGTCTTCCTCGTCGCCGACTGCTCCGCCCCGCTGCAGATGCGGCCCACTGCCAGGACCGAAGTATCGCACACTCGACTTCCGTGGGGACCGCGTGGGACGCACAGAGAGTGACAGGAACGACAAGTGCTATGTGGCTGTGTCGGCGAACAAACCTAGTTTAATTACGCGCGTCATCGGAACGTGCAACGTCGCACTTCGAATTCTCTCTTTGGCACTCTTCCCTCATGTCGCACTCCCGCGCGGCGTAGGCGGACAAGTCCAGAAGCCTCCCGCGCACGCTCTCTTTCTTCTCCGACGTCCCCTTGTCCAACAAAGCCACGTACGCACATTCTCGCTTGTCCTGCGTGCCGTTGCATGGACTTCGTCCCCCCGCCGTCGCCTCCGGGGTACCCGTCGCAAGACACGTACGCCTGTAGCCCGAACAAAACGTTTCGAAATTCACAGGCACATACCTCCCAGTATGCTGGCTCATTCCGTACCCCGCCGTGTCTCTGGTGCATCTGGTGTGTCCGCAGGTAGAGCGGGAGTGCAACATACAGTAGTCTCCCGGTTGACATATTCGATGAGTAGGTTGTATGACAAGTGTCCGAAAACTCACCTTCAACGAACACGTCGACAGCATGCATACGCCCGTGTCAACGACCTCGGGCCCACTGCCCAGCCACGTCCCGCGTGAGTTTCGCTCGACACTGCGACACTCTGACTTGGCAGGCTGATCCGGTCCCGGCTCAGCTGTAGATGCCGGGGGAAGTTCTGCGCAATGCTCGGCGGTGTTTGTGCGATGCACTTGTTCTCATAACCCTGAGCGGCGCTCATGAGCTCGTGCAGTCGGACTCGCTCCCCGACCATGCGCACCACCGCCCAGATCTGCAACCTGCTAGTCATCGCATGGCTGCAACCGTACGGCTGTATTTCCCAAGATGGCCTCCCTGGATAATGCAGCCGCCTGGCCTGCAGTCGCCCAATCGTCGGGCAAGCGAATGCCACTCGCACTGAAGATCCGCTCGTACGACACGACACTATAGCCAAGTGGTTAAGGCGACAGATTAGAAATTTCAGGGCACTCCCCGAAAGCAACATTCTGTTTCCCTCTGGGAGCGTAGGTCCGAACCCTACTGGTGTCGTGGCGACGCTTCTTAGAATCGTTTGTCCGGTGTTGCCTTGGTTGCTCAGGTTTTCCGCCCGGGTACGTCCCGTAGGCGCGCCGTACCGACGCTGGTTCATGATTACTGCATTAAAGGGGTTATGCTCTGGTCGGGCTTGGTTTGGGCTGTTCGCAAGGGGTACTGGCAAGGGTACAGGATATGAGTGGGCAGTCAGGAGGACGCACGGCCGAGCCGCTGCTCGTACGGAGTAATGTTGGCCGGGACACACTCTGTACGACCATTTGAGCGTTGCCCTCGCGCAATCATACAACGGTCGAGGAAGGGCCGCACGTCGATTAGGTGAATTTACGACTATGTATCAAGGAGCGGCCGACCATGACCAGTGACCCGGTGGTGACTCATACTCACGCTCTACTACAGCGCCTAATTTATCTCCTGCACTACCACATTCGCATCCGTAGGACGCACAAGCAAGGCACGAAGCAGCTGCCGGAGGACAGCCGTCAGCGCCAACAGGGAGAGCCAAAGCAGACGGAGCGGGACATACCACCCTAAGCGACGGTCGTAGGTACAACCGTCGACGTAACGATCACCCTCGTCGTACCAGTCGGGACCTTCTGAACCACCGCGGGCTCGCTCACGGTCGCGCTCAAGAGCACGCTGGTCTCGGGGACCTGCGGGACTGCCGAGGAGACGGAGGCCTCCTCCGAGTCAGCAGCCTTCGCGCTCACGCTCGGGACTTGGGTGACTTCAGAAGGGACGGCCGAAGAAGCGGGGAGCTTCTCCACTACCGAGGAGATAGATCCGGAGGCGGACGCCACCTTCGCCTCAACAGAAGAGGAAGGCACGGTAGAGATCGACGGCGGGACGACAGAGCTGGCGACAGCCTCCGAGGGGACAGCCACAACGGTCGACCGCACCGAAGCAGGGGCAGGGACGGTCTGGGAGAGCACGCTCGTCACGTCCGCGGCGCTGCGGGGGACGATGCTCACGGATGGGACGCCAGAGGTGGAGACGAGTGTGGTGACGGAGGGCGCCTGGACGTGGTCGGTGACGGACTCGACCTGCGCCACCGCGGGCGTGCTCACTGCCGCAGGGATCGCGGGGATAGTTGTCGAGATGTCGCGAGCAGCGAGCGAGGTCACGCCCGCGCTTTCGCTCTCCACAGCACCCACGACGGAGGTGACGGACGCGGGCGCCTCAGACGCGCAGGCAGCGGCGTGGACGTCCTTCGACGCAGGACTAGTCGAGGGCAGGGCGACAGACGAAGCGGAAGGAGTCCCGATCTGACGGGCCACGAGGGACCCGGACACGCTGGCGGGTGCGGCAGGCAGAGCGACTCCCGCTGCGCCGGCGACGGGGCCGTTTAAGGCCGAGACTGAGGCGGAGGCGTCGCGCTGTACGACGCTCACGGAAGGGACTACAGAGGTGACAGCAGCAACGACGGGGCCGTTAGTAACGCTCGGGACGACGGAGGTGGTGTCTAGCGGCGCCGAGAGAGCTATAAGAAAGTAGGTGAGTCAGATGAGGTAAATGTTAGTGAGATGGAGGCAAGAGAGACGTACCGCGGCTGGCGGCGAGTGCGGCGAGGACGAATTTGAGGAGGTGCATCATCTTGTTCTTGGTCGTGGATAGCAAAGACAGGAGAGATTAGGTGGAGATGGGTATGTAAAGCGAGAGGGACAGAGAGGTTAGGAAGGTAGGTTAGAAGAGGGAGGACGGATGATGAGTACGCCTCGTCGCCCCAGCACCTCTCTTATACCTTTCGCGAGGAGCGAGAGTCGACCCCGAGTCGTGAAGAGACTCAGAAGTTCGAAGATTCTGAGCGTCGCGTCGTTGAGCCGCGAGCTTCTCGTGCAGCCGCAACCGTTGACGAGTCGGTCATCGCCGGCGGGGTGGAGCTCGTCGCCCTACGCGCTCGCGTACGCGCGTCGATCGTCGTTCGCGTCGGCTCCGCCGCTCGTTGTACCCTCGAGCAGGGACCCTCAAACATGACCTGAGCCGCTCACAATGAGTTGGCGGTCCTCCAATGGCTGGCGGAGGGGCGCGCGGGCTTCGGAGTGGCGAATAGCCTCTTTTGGGGTGCTCTCGACTCGGATACCCGGGACGACGCCTTCTCCCGTTGGGTCACCTTAAGCTGCAGACGTGACGAAAGAGCGCGTGGAGTCATGATTGCTCGTGCTGCGTGGTCAGTGCTGTCTCTGGCTCCCCTCTGCGTTGTGAGTATCTAAAGCGCGAAGCCTTGATCTCAAAAGATCCGCGGTGCTAGCGTCTCGGTCACCCCAAACATTTCTGGCTGAAGGAAATCAGTTCGGCCGAAAGAGCATAACTGGGCACTGTGTGGCAGGTGAAGTGGTTGCGTGCGAGCGTTTTCAGACTGGACTACAGTGGACCGGAAGTGGTCGTCGATCGGAAAGCCGTGAAGAACGGGCGCTTCTGGACGCCACCCCGCCTTTGCCTGCCTTTTCGAGCAGAGCGCCGTCTCGGCATTCTCCGCCACTCTTGCGCTCGGACTTCGTACTAGTAGATGAGGCCATCACAGCGCAGACAGCGACAGTGAAAGGTCATGTATTTTCACTTCCGAGCTTTAAAAGCTGTATCATCTCATTACACCGCACAGTAAAGTACTACTACCATGTAAGTCAGCACTTCAAGATACGACGTTCCCAGTTGTCCTCATACACCAAGTCAGATAAGACATTCACTTCTTGAGGCCGCCCGAGGCGCGTCCAAGTACTGTGCACCGCTGCGGGCAGGCCGCAGACTTTCCGCGACTGTGGGAAGCAGAAGGAGTGGCTGCGTCAATCGCCATACAACCTAGCTGCGCAATCTAGCAGGGCATACAATTGCGCGCGTTCGTCAACAGTGGATAGACTTCAACCCGCGCTGACGAATGTCTTGGCAACGAACATAGCCATCTCAGCACCATGCTGTGCGGTGAAAACCGAGGGTAGGTTTGAGTGTTTGACGCATCCCTGTGCTCATACGGTCACGCAGCCCGACCCCGACCGTTCGTATTCCCAATTCCTCAAGCTAGTATGAACGCCAGAGACGCACATATCATCTGGAGGAGGCAGTGATGCAACGCTGAACGCGCCCGACGGACCGGCGGTACGTATACCGCAAGCGGGCGACCATCGCCCTCTGTGAATCCGACCTCAAGCTAGGGCGCGGTGCTGTACAGATGTGCCGTCATGCGGAATCCTCTGCCACCAATCACGAGTAGTATGTGCGGGGATAATAGCTTATCCCATGCGCTGGAGAAGCAGAGGTCAATAGTGATGCTCTCGTTGTGCTGCGGATGCAAAGTATGACATACGATGCGGTCTTGTCAAGCCGCGTTGCGATCCTCACAGGTGCAGCTGCGGAGGCCGAAGACCGTGCAACGCGCTCGGCATGTAGCTTCAAGTGCAGCTGATGTTCTCGGACTCGCACCTTTACTCTCGGTGCCGAGCGCCATGAGCCCGGCTGCGGTATATAACATCGACGCCTTGGTGGAGCAGTGGCGTTCAGTAGGCCTCCCTTCTCTCTATTTCCTTCTTCCTCTCCCTTCGTCCCTGCCTGCACCCGCTCTTCCTTTCTTGTTTTGCCTCTTCAAGTACCGGCATCATAATGCGTGTGCTGAGCTTTGTTCTTGTCGCACTCCTTGCTTGCCACGGTGGTTCGTCTCTCCCGCACATTCACGTTGAATTGCATTGACGCTGACCATCGCTCCCATGTCTCGCTCCCCGTGCAGGCAATGCTGTCCCGCTTGAAGCCAGATTTGCGACGACAATCACCGCGACTCTTGGGGACGGGCATGTAACCACCGTCACCGCGACCATCGATCCGCCTAGCGCTTTCCCTCCGGCTCCTACCACGACTGACGCCGTTGGGACCGTGCCGGTCACCATAACAGGCTCGTCCGGGATCGTGTCGAGCGTCGTCTCATCGGGGATCGTCTCCAGTGCGGTGCCATCCGGGATTGTCTCCAGCGTCGTTCCATCCGGGATCATATCCAGTGTCGCCTCTTCCGGGATCGTGTCGAGCGTCGTATCGTCGACTCCATGCGGCGAGCCTACCGGCACCATCACCGTTGTACCCACTACCTTCCCAGTCTCGTCAGGGATCGTGACCACGGTCGCACCGTCAACCTCCGGTATCGAGCCAGTGACATCCATCCTGAGCTGCTTCCCAGTTAGCGGGCCCGTGTCGTCCACGCCCCCCTCGATTTCGATCGGCTTCACTACCGTGGTTTCGAGCACACCCGTCTCGGTCGTGTACCCCTCCGCTCCTCCGAGTACCGTGCTCTCCTCCGTAGTGCCCCTCAGCAGCGTGGTCTCCTCTACGGTCAGCTCTGCCTTGGCCTCGTCCGCCATCGCGCCCAGCTCGGTTGTTCACCCGTCCGCCGCCACGAGCATCGTGGTGTCCTCCGTAGCGGCCCCCAGCGGCATAGTCTCCTCTGTGGTCAGCTCTATCGTCACCTCGACCGCCATCGCATCCAGCTCGGTCGTTTCCAGCGTCCTCAGCAGTGAGGCCGCGACGTCTCCCGTTACAGTGTTCCCATCCAGCTCAGTACTGTCGTCCACCGGGATCTTCACCAGTGTCGTCAGCACCGTTAGTGGCACACCGGATCCCATCACTACGTTCTTCAGCTGCGTCCCTATTTACCAGCCGACTGCCACTGGAACGGCATCTAGGGCCTTCACGTCTTTCCCGGTGTCTAAGCCTTCGGGCTCCACCTTCCCTTCCTCTGCGCCAGTGTCCTCCGCCTTCCCGTCATCTGCTCCGGTGTCTTCCGTGGTCGCTTCCTCGGCGGCAGCATCGCCCTCGGTGTCGTCCATCTTCACCTCTATTGTGGCGCCCTCCTCTATTTTCACGTCCGACGCCGCTCCTTCCTCTTCCGTGGTCTCCTCGGCTTTCACTTCCGTCGCCCCATCGTCCCCTGCAACAATCTCCTCCGCTCCGTCGTCCGTCCTCGTCAGCGAGGGCTCGGCGCCGGCCACGATTTCTTCCAGCTTCTAAATCGTAGGAGCGCC